CTCGGGCGGGAGCGCTGGTTTTGTCGGGGCGGCGGTTTTCGGCGGCGAGGAGGAACACCGCCTTGAGTAAGAAGGGAGGAAACACCGAGCGGGAGCCATGGTTTTGTCGGGACGGGGGTTGTCGGCGGCGAAGAACAGCACCGTCTTCAGGAAAAAAATAAAAAAAACTCGAGCTGGAGCGATGTTCTTACTGAGAGCGGCGCCAATTCAAAAGAGAATTGGGCGCCAATCCAGCGTAAAACAAAAAGAAGTCTCGGGCAGGAGCGTGGTTTGGTCGGGGCGGCGGTTTTCGGAGGCGAGAAGGAGCACCGCCTTGAGTAAAAAAGAAAGGAAACCTCGAGCGGGAGCGTTGTTTTTGCTGGGGGTGGCGCCGATGAGAGAAACACTAGCACGCCAGTCCAATGTAAAACGGGAGGAAGTCTCGAGCGGGAGCGCTGGTTCGTGGCCCTGCTGTCGCCTCACCCTGGGTGGCCCCATTGCTGCCCTTCGTGGCCCCGCTGTCGCTCTCGCTCTCGATCTCGCTCTCGCTCTCGCTTTCGCTCTCGCTCGTCGTTCTCGTCGTCGTTGTCGCCGTCGTCACCGTCGTCGTCGTCGTCGTCGTCGTCGTCGGCGGCGCCGCACAGGGCAAGGACGGGGCCACTGAAAACAGCAACGGGGCCACGAAGGGCGACAGCGGGGCCACGAAGCGCGTGCATATGGGGCCACGAAGGGCGCGAACGAGCGGGGGCCACGAAGGACATACATACATGGGGCCATGAAGGGCAGCGAGGGGGCCACGAAGGGCTGCAACGGGGCCACGACGAGGGGGCCACGAAGGGGTGCAACGGGGCCACGAAGGGCAGCGAGGGGGCCACGAAGGGCTGCAACGGGGCCACGAAGGGCGGCGAGGGGGCCAGGAAGGGCTGCAACGGGGCCACGAAGGGCGGCGAGGGGGCCACGAGGGGGCTGCAACGGGGCCACGAAGGGCAGCGAGAGGGCCACGAAGGGCTGCAACGGGGACACAAAGGGCAGCGAGGGGGCCACGAAGGGCTGCAACGGGGCCACGAAGGGCAGCGAGATCCAGCTTCCTGAGTAAGCTGTGACGGAGTCCTAAGCGTGAGCGCGACTCCTGGGTGCCTGAGTGTCGGGAGCGCGGCCCTTGAGTAAATTGCGAGGAACTCCAACGCAAGAGCGAGATTCTTGAGTAGATCGCAAGCAAGTCTCCAGCAAGAGCGCGACTCCAGAGCGCCGAAAGAGCAATTCCTTAATACATCGCAAGGAAGTCCCAAGCGAGAGCGTGATTCCTGAGTAAAATGCGAGGAAGTCTCAGGCGAAAACGGGGGTCCTTACTAATTGTGAGGAAGTCTCAGGCGGGAGCCGTTGTTGTTGTAATCCGGGGGCCAGGGGCGCAGTTTGAGCCTTGCGGTTTTCCACGATGTAAATCAGGGTGCGAGCCCCGGGGGAGGCACTTCAATTGAAAAACACGAATGTTACAGGAGGGGGGATGACCGCTCAGAAACGAGAATTCAACAACAACAACAACAACAACAACGACAACGACAACGACAACGACAACGACAACGACATCGACAACGACAACAACAACAACAACAACAACAACAACAACAACAACAACAACAACAACAACAACAACAACAACAACAACAGCAACAACGACAACAACAACCGCAACCACAACCACTACCACAACCACATTAACGATGACGACGACGATAACGACGACAACAATATCAACATCGACAACAGCAACAGAAACAGTAACCGCAACATCGACAACGACAATTACAACAGCAACAGCAACAGCAACAGCAACCGCAATAACAACAACCACAATCATAACCATAACCACAACCACAACAACAGCAACAGCAATGACAGCAAAAACAGCATCAGCAACAGCAGCATCTACAAAAATAACCACAACGACAGCGAAATAAAAACAAATACAGCAGCAGTAACAACAACAAGAACAACAATCATAACAGCAATAGCAGCAGCAACAAGAACAATTACAATGATAACCACAACGACCACGAAATAACAACAAATACAGCTGCAGTAACAACAACGACAACAAGAATAACAGCAAAAGCAGCAACAGCAACAACGAAAACGAAAACGGCGTCGGGGCGCGGGTGCCCACGATGGGTTTCCGCTAAGAGGCCTTCGACGGAGGGAGTACCCGAAAGCCAGGCTGGCGCCCTGGTTCTCTCAGGACGAGAACGATGTCATGACACGATTGCCTCAGGATACTAGGAGGCCTCCTAGATGGGGTCGGAGTAGATGGGGTCGGAGGATCGCGCCGCATCGGCGATGCATCGGCGATGCATCGGCGATGCACCGGCGATGCATCAGCGACGCCAGCGATGCATCGGCGATGTCCGCGTGAAGAAGATCGGGCTCCGCATCGAGCCGCATCGGTGATGCATCGGCGATGCGGCGCGCTCCTCTGACCCCATCTACTCCGACCCAATCTAGGAGGCGTAGAGATACGTCCCAGGAACTCCAGAGTATCTGGCGGCCCTCGTTTATACAGCCCGCGCGGAACAGGATGAAACCCTGGAATGATTGAACATACTGGAGCGCATCTTTACCACATCCTCTGGCTCCTCTGATCCCCGCTTGTCTCTCTCGACCGGCCTCTGCTGGGAGGGGGGTGCGTGCATCCTCTCGCTCCCGCCTTGCCGGGGACGCGCGCCGTGCGTCCACTGACGAGCAAACCCACCAGCCCCGTCTCGTCGTCTTCCTCCCGCTTCCTCCTGCCACCTCTCTCTCTCTCTCTCTCTCTCCTCCCCCTTTCCTGCTACTCGTGCTCCTCTGTTTCCTCTTGCCCCTCCTACTCCGCCTCCTCCTCCCCCTGCTCCTCTCGACTCATCCTCTCCTCCTGTTCCTGCTCCACCTCATCCTTCGTTGCAAACATAGTCGCTCACTTGTCCTCCTCCTCCTCCCCCTCTTCTTTCTTCTTTCCATTATCATGTTCAACCTCCTCCTCCGCCTCATCCTCCTCCTCATCATCATCATCATCATTATCATCATCATCTGCCTCATCCTTCTCATCCACCATTCTCTTCTTCTCCACCTATTGCTCCTCCACCGTTGCAGACATGGCATGGTCGCACACTTGACTGTAACTAATTCGGTGTTGAATGTAGCGTTATGGAAATATCTACCCCTCCCTCCTCCCCCTCCTTCCTCCTCCCCGTACTCCAGCTCCTCCCCCCTCCTCATCCTCCTCCTCCTCCTCCTCCTCCTCCTCCTCCTCCTCCTCCTCCTCCTCCTCCTCCTCCTTCCTCTCCTCCTCTCCCTCCTCCTCCTCCTCCTCCTCCGCCTCCGTCCTCCTCCTCCTCCTCTCCTCATCCTCATCCTCATCCTCATCCTCTTCCTCATCATCCTCATCCTCATCCTCATCCGCATCTCCTCGCCTGCTTCTCCTTTTTCCTCCTCCTCTCCTCCTCCTCCTCTTCCTCCTCCGCCTGCTCCTCATTCTCATCCTCCGCCCCCTCCGATCAACAAGCAACTCCTGAACCTCTTCAGGGGCGCGTTCCGACCAGAGTAACGAAGGGAATCCAGCCGTGGCGACGAGAAGGCCCCAAGAGGCCCCCAAGGCAACCCAAAACGCCCTCCCCCTCCCACCCCCCCGAAAAAAACAGAAACGAAAAACTCGACGTCTACCCTCGATCCTCGAATCTCGATGTTCAGTCCTTCAAACTGGATGCGCCTGCACGGTTTCCCTCGGGGCCGTGGGCGACCCGAGGAGGACGGGGAGGAGGAGGAGGAGGAGGAGGAGGAGGAGGAGGAGGAGGAGGGAGAGAAGGAGGAGGAAGGAGGAGGAGGAGGAGGGGGAAGGTGGAGGAGGAGGAGGAAGAAGGAGGAGGAGATGGAGGATGAGGAGGAGGAGGAGGAGGAGGAGGAGGAGGAAGAGGAGGAGGAGGAGGAGATGGAGGAGGTAAGAGGAGGAGGAGGAGGAGGAGAGGGAGGAGGAGGAGGAGGAGGAGGAGGAGGAGGAGGGAGAGGAGGAGGAGGAGGACGGGTCGCCTAAGCCCTTCGGAGACACTCTCCAAATACGGCCCCCCTCCTGGGCCGGAGCCTGGGCCCGCCCGCCGGGGGAGGCGGGAGGGGGCAGGTTTGCCCACTGGGCGGGGCGCTGCGCGCACTCGCCCGGGAGCCTCGCCGCACACGTGGGCCACCAGAGCTTCTCACGGAAGCTGGGCGAGGGCTGGCAAATCCGTGGCTGCTAAAGCGGTCTCCCCGGAAGAGAAAAAGAAATCCCCAGAATCAAACCCAGCGCACGAAATAATAAACGGGCTGCTTCCCGGAAGAAAAGACAATTTCCCGGAGTTCCGTTTCAGCAGCCACAGGTTTGCCAGCCTTCGCCCGGCCTCTGATTCTCGTTGCGAAGAAATCACGACGCGAGTTTTCTGCCAACTGCCAGCATAGGAAAAGAAAAAGCGCTACAGACAGAAACGTTTGGCGCTCCGCGCGGATTTCGTGAATCTGCACTGGACCCCTTGAGCGCGCCAGGGGCGGCGCCCCAGGCGTCGTTGGGGGGGGCCAGCGCGGATCAAACAAATCCGCGCGGAGCGCCAAGCCTGGTCAGTCAGGCCTTGCAGGATCCTGCAGGATACTACGCGCTGGCCCGGGGCAATGCAACCCTGGCTTTGCAGGATCCTGCACGATGCGGCGCTCTGGCTGACCCCCGTTTGCGTTGGCCCGCGTCTCAAGGCCCCTGATACCAACGGTTCCTGAGGGAAACGGGTCCTGGACCCTGGTGCCTTCCCCGAGGACGAGCTTTTTCATCCTGACTTGTTTTCCGACAGTCCCAGGAGGGCCACGAGATCCCGAAGACGGCCAAGAACCAGCGCGAGGGTCCAGATCTCGCGGGGACCCACGTCGCGAAAACATCACGAAACGTCGGCGCTTGGGGCACACGCAGCGCCCACTCCCTCGGCCAGCCGCCCCCCGCTGCGGCCCCCGAGGCCCACCCCGCCCCGGGTTCGCACTGCTCCAGGGCGGCGTCAGGCGACTGGCCGGCCACTGGCCTCGGGCGGGCAGGCCGCCACCGCCGCCGCCGTCGCCTCCACCTCCTCCTCCTCCTCCTCCTCCTCCTCCTACCGCCGACTCCTACGGCCTCATGCGCCACCGCCTCAGACAATCTATCATCGGCCTCTTCAGTACTACTCTTGCTTACTCCGCCTCCTCCTATCATCCGCACTGCCACTGCAGCCTCCTCAGCGACCTCCCTCCAGATGACGCAACTCCTCCTCATCCTCCGACTCCTCCTCCGCCTTGATCCTTCCATCCTCTTCCTCCGCCTCCTCTACTTACTCCTCTTCCTCATCCTCTTGCTTCCCCTCATCCTCTCATCATCCTCCTCCTCCGCCTGCTCCTCCTCCTCCTCCATCCTCATCCTCCTTCTCTCCTCCCGCCTTCTCCTCCTCCTCCTCTTTCTCCTCCCTCTCCTCCTGCAGGGGGGCGGGCGGGGGGGCGGGCGTTGCAGGGCCTGAAGGTGAAGCTGTCGATCACGTGGCGTCTCATGTCTGCGGAGACCTTGGCAAGAGCCAGCTTGGTCCTCGGGGCTATGCCGCGCAGGCTGCCCACCAGAGGAGGGCATCGCCCCGCCCTCCGCCCTCCGCCCCATCCCGCCCTCTCTATCCCGATCCCTTCGCCCCATCCTTCGCCCTATCCATCTCTCTCCGCCCCATCCTCCTCATACTCCTCATCCTCTTCCAAATCATCATCACCATCACATTCATCATCATCATCATCATCATCATCATCATCATCATCATCATCATCAGCAGCAGCAGCAGCAGCAGCCAGCAGCAGCAGCAGCATCATCATCATCACCATCATCATCAGCATCATCATCATCATCCTCATCATCATTATCATCATCATTAGCATCATCATCATCGTCATCATCAACACCATCATCACCATCATCATCAGCATCATCATCAACATCATCATCATCCACATCAGCATCTTAATCATCATCAGCATCATCAGCATCATCATCATAATCATCGTCATCATCAGCATCATCATCATCATCATCGTCATCATCATCATCGTCATCATCATCAGCATCAGCATTATCATCATCATCATAATCATCATCATCACCAGCATCACCTCATCATCATCAGCATCATCAGCATCATCATCATCATCAGCGTCACCAGTATCCTTCTCCTCAAACTCATCCTCCTCCTCCTCCTCCTCATCATCATCATCATCATCATCAGCTTCATCACCATCACCATCATCATGACCACCAACATCAACATCATGATCCTCAGCAGCAGCAGCATCAACATCATCGGCATCATCAGCATCATCATCATCAGCATCATCATCAGTATCATCATCCGCATCATCAGCATCAACATCACCATCAACATCACCATCGACAGCATCATCATCAGCATAACCAGCATCATCACCATCATCAGCACCATCAGCATCAGCATCAGCATCATCAACATCATCAGCATCATCATCAGCAGCATCATCGTCATCATCGTCCACATCATCATCAACATCATCATCCACATCAGCATCCTCAGCATCATCAGCATCATCAGCATCAGCCTCAGCATGAGCAACAGCATCAGCAGCAGCATCATCATCAGCATCATCGTCATCATCCGCACCGTCATCATCATCATCATCATCATCATCATCATTATCACCGTCATCATCTTCATCATCATCAGCATCAGCAGCAGCAGCATCAACATCAGCATCATCGTCAGCCGCATCATCAGCATCATCATCAGCATCATCACCATCAACAGCATAAACAGCACCATGATGACAAGATTCATCATCACCATCATCATCAGGTTCCATCATCGTCAGCATCATCAGCAGCATCACAATCATCATTATCATCATCGGGCGCATCAGCATGATCCACGTCATATTCATTATCAGCATCGTCAGCATCCGCATTATCAGCATAGTCATCATAATCATTATAATCATCATCATCATCATCAGCAGCAGCATCAGCATCGACAAACTCCACCAGCATCATCAACCACATTATCATCATCAGCATCTTCTTTATCAGCATCACCATGGTCATCATAGTCATCAGCATCATCAGCATCAACACCACCACCATTATCATCATAAACAACAACAGCATCAGCATCAGCAGCATCAGCATCAGCATCATCATCAGTATCATCATCATTAACATCAACATCATCAGAATCAGCATAACCAGCATCATCAGCATCATCAGCATCATCACCATCAGCATCATCAACCACAGCCTCAGCGTCATCATAACCATCACCATCAGCATCGGCATCATTACCGGTATCACTCTCATCATAATAAGAATCAGTATGATCACCATGATCAGCATGATCCTCTTCTTCTGCATCATCATCATTATCAAAATCAACATCATCATCAACATCATCAACATCATAATTATCATCATCATCATCGTCCCCCTGTCTCCCCCGTCTCCGTCATCTCCCCATCTCCGTCATCTCCTCCATGGCGTCCTCCCCCTCCTCCTCCTCCTCTTCCTCAGCAGTCTCCTCCTCTAAGTCCTCCAGGTCCTTGGCGCACCAGATATCGCTATGCAACACCTGGGGCAAAAAGGGGGAGTAAAAAATAAGGTCCGACACCTTCCAGGGATCGGACCGACCTGCCAAACTCCGCACCCGACGAGGGGTCGATCCCGCTCTTCAGGAGACTCAGGGAG